TACCTTGACTGCAATTTTATATGTAAATGAACGCGCTTTTTTTCGAAACGACCGCCCGGGCAATACTTTTACTTTTTATTGAACTGGAAATTTGCATTTCAAAAAGGCAGGGAAATTTGATGGAATACCTCAAAGTTTGATGCAAAAACTCATGATCGCACCGGCTCGCCTGGTGCGTTTCAGCCTGGGTTATTTTCATGCTGCAAGACTTCCCTCTATGCATAGTTTTGCATTTCACTAATTTTCGGAGCATTTGGAAAGTTTTATTTTTTGTGTTGCAAGATTCATTTTCAAACCCACCAGAGGTTGCAATCGGGCTTTCTAAGCTAGTGACAAATTCTGAAGTTTGATTCTACAGGTCACAAAACACTATGCTGTGCTACTGGCCACAGTATTTGATGTTTGGAATGCAACTACGAGAGTAAGGAATTCCCGGATTTGATTTGCTCGGCGTTTCAGATTAAGATTTATGAACACGGAACGCATAAACATATGCGCAAATACACAACACAACACGACACAACACACACACACACACACATACGTCAATAGTTCGCTAAAGTGGACGAGATGAAATGCAAATTCCTATACTGCCTCGTTGTAAAATGAGCATAAAATCTGTGATGCAATCAGTGAAAAAGGACTTCACTGTGCACCCTACAACCCTCGGAAGACTGCGTTGTCAAAAAGCTAGCTGACAGTTCCCTACCGTTAAAAAAGTTATGTACGAGTTAAAAAGACAGTATGCCGGGCTAGCTACCAGAGAAATGAGTACAAATCGAATTTCTTTCGGCTCACGTTCAGTTTGAGTTTAATTTTACGATTTTAATAGCACTCATGCGGAGTTAAATAAAGGAGCTGTGCACATGTGTGAATTTCCATTTTTCAACCTTACCTCTCGTGATTTTTTGGCTTGCTTTTTTCTTGTAGGTGTGATGAAACACATTTTGAACACTTTTTACCAGACCATGGCTTCAGCTTTGCTTTTTGCAGGGTATGAACTGATCATTTTAAATGTCGTTGACGAATAAATTTTCGCAGGCCAGTAAAATTTCAATCTTTAATTAGCTTAATTCTGCAAAGCAGAGCAGGCCAGGAAAACACTGGGGTAAATGTGTATCAGTCTGAACACATAAATCTCGACAATAAAAAATAAATGGCCAACGCACGGGCTGCCCGTGCGAAGATGCGTTTTTTGCAGAGTTCCCCGCAGTTGTTTGTCGCTACCGGCATCGGTTTTTCGGCAGATGCTTCTAGCTGAATTTCAGACTAGCCGCCAGAA